GTTAAATACCTGTACGTATTGGACAGGTCCACACAATTAAGATCTGTCCCACCCCAAATGCCAATAGCTAGGCTAGCTGACCCTGAGGCCCCAAGGCCAAACAACGGAACCAGCCAGCCCTGTCTAGAACACTAGGAAAATTCAGAAAACAAACACCCTGACATGCTCTCTCACCTGACCTCAAATTCTACCACCAGAGATATATGTTTTGGGACCAGGAGGCCTGTTGGCCTTGTCCTAATGGTACCATATGAAATGCAAACACCCCAAAGAGACGTCAAGCCCTGAGCATGATCAACTACAACTTTTCAACTCTTGTGGATAATTTGGATAAAACTGCAGATATTCTGTGGTGCTTTAACGAACAGATTCCTGGGTACAATCAGCGGGTGTGGTCACCCGCCTCCAGGATGGCCCCCAATGACCTGGCCCCCTGATATTCACACCTTTGTATAGTTCCTTCTACATTGTACCAGGGTTGGTCTGTGCAATCAACGTATATAGCTTGTGGCATGGTGAGAGGATGTCACTTCCCAGATTAGGTTAAAAAAGATTGGGACTTCTGTGTTGGAAGCTCTCCACTCTCTCACCCATGATATGTCTATGTCTGTCTATCTGTCTCTCTTCCTTCCTCCCTCCTTTTGGCGGAAGCCAGCTGCCATGATGTGACACTCAAGCGGCTTATGGAGAGGCTCATGTGAATGAAGCCTTCTGCCAGCAGCCAGGGCAGAATCGAGTCCCCTGCCCTCTGCCATGGCAGGGAGCCACCATGGTAGTGGGTCCTCCAGCCCCGGTCCAGCCTTCAGATGACTGCAGCCCCAAATGACACCTTGATCACAGCTTTGTGAGAAACCCTGAGCCAGAACCACCTGGCTAAGATGCTCCCAGATTCCTGACCCTCAAAAACGGGGTGTGATAACAAATGTTTATTGTTTTAGGCTGCTAAATTTTGAGCAACTTATTACACAGCAATAGATAACTAATACAGTGGATCTAGGGTAGGACCCAGAAAGCTGTAGATCTGCTCAGGGACTTGTCTGTTGGTAGTTTTCTGAGGGCAAAGCTGGTTCAAAGTGTTGGTGTGTGTGAGTATCAAAGCCCGTCCCCTGTGTGGATCCTGACTGGGCATGGAGACCAGAGGTGTAGGTTTCCACTCCCGGCACCTCTAAGAGCTGATGTCTCACGCAGTCCCTAGAGACCAAGAATGTTTGCTGATGGATCGTTTCTGAGAGAGAGAAAACCCTAGAATATGCAACCTGAGCGGGACCTTGGTCAGATGATTTTCAAAATCTGTTCAGTAGTGGAACCATATCTTCAAATGAAACCATTTGTAGAAGACTGGTTTAGAGACACGGGCTGAGCTGTTCTGGGCGAGCCTGCGTGGGGGTCCCCTCGAGCCTGCTTCTTCAGCCACCCCACTCCCCACTCCAGGAGCACCCCTGGAAAATCCCAGAGCTTTACAGGTTGCAAACCTCTAATCTAGTTCAACTGTGCCATTTTACTGATGAGTAAGCCAAGGCCCACAGAAGGGAGGTCACTGGCACGTCTGTGGCAGACGCCTATCCTTTGACTCTCGTGACCTCTGATGCAATCTTTCTGCACTCCTTGGGTTGCCGCTCAGGACAAATGCACAAGGTGGAGATGAGGTATAGGAAATAGCTCCCTCCCCCACCTCCTAAGAAAGTGGGGAGCCCCAGAGCCCGTCCACCAGCAGAGGGAGCTCCTCCTACGTGCCAGGCAGTGTTTTCAGTGCTTCACGTGAACGCATGTGCTCAATCTTCCAGACAATCCTAGGACGTAGATACCGTTATTATCCTATTTCACACAGGAGGAAGGAGGCAGAGCAACGTAAGGAACTCGCCCGACCCCTTGGCTACTCAGTGGCACGGCCAGGATGCCATGGTGTCCAGACACCAAGCCCTTAACCCCTGCACTCCGCTGCCTCCCCCAGGTAAGGGCCTGGCTCCCTCTCCCTTCCAGCGGGAGTGAAAGGGCCTCTGTTGTGCTCCCCAAGGAGCTGGGAGGCAGTCACCCAACAGGAGATGTGGTCACACCTGTAACTTTTCCGGCCAGGATGCCCCAGGCTTCTGGCTCAAAGGCCACGGAGGGGTCAACACCTCTCCTAGGGCAGGGGGCTCCTCACCTAGGTCAGTGTCTCTCAAATGTACTTTTTCTATCAATCGCGAATGCTGTAGGCATTTAGGGATGGAGCGATAGAGTAGCGATTGCTGAGTACTTTACCTTTATATTAGCTGTGAGAACTTAGTACAGATCCAGGCCAGAGGGTATTTCATTAGCCGACACTCTGTGCCTTTGACCTACACATCACGGCCTAGACCTTATTGATTATTTTTCTCTCAAGCATAGGAAAGTTGCAAGAACAGTGCAAAGAGCCCCTCCCCCCACCCCCCATCCCCCTCACTCAGGTTTCTCTCTCCCTCTGTGGACCTACACACTCATTATCATTCATCTTTTTCTAAACCATCTGAGGACACGCTGCAGACATGAGCCCACATATCCCGCAAATATTCCAGTGTGTGTTTCTCAACAACAAGGACACTCACCTAGCTAACCATCATATAGCCCCCTAAATCAGGACACTTCTAGCCAAGAAACACTACTGCCACAGACCCCAATTCACATTCTCCCACTGTCCAACAAGGTCTCTATTTCTTTATGGTCCAGGATCTCAAAAAGGAATACATATTGCATTTAGTTGTCTGCGTCTTCAATCCCCTTCAATCTGGGAGATTCCTCAGTCTTTCACGTCCAAGCAGTTTTAGAAGATGGCCTTTCCATTTGGTTCCTCAGGACCAGAGGCAGGCTGTGCTTTCTTGGCAGGAAAACCCCAGAAATGATGCTGGGCTTTCTCCGTGCAGCACATCAGGTGTCCACTCACCCCACACTAATGATGTTAACCCTGATCACCTGGTCAGGTTGAAGCCTGACAGGTTTCTCCACCATCAAGTCATCACACTTTCCCTTATAATGAGGTGAGCCCTACATGTGCCCCAGCCTGGTGCCTGGTGAGTTTCCAGTCTGCAAGGCAGGGAGGAGTCCAAAGAGAGCCAGGTGGTCTCAATGAGTTAAGGGGACAGAGTTCAAAATTCAGGGAGTCCAAGGCCACTAGAATTTGGAAGGCAGAGTAGCAGAGAGGAGAGAGCTGCACACAGAGAGAAATCCAGAAATGGCAGCCCCTTGAGTCTTTGGCCAATTTGTGCATGTATGTGAGGAAACTTCCAGGGCTGGTGAAAAGCTACCTGCAACAAACTGATGGAGTAATCCCCTAAGAGCACACACGGCTGGAAATAGTTTGTATTCCCAGCTGACGTGGTGGAAATACCTCCTAGGACATAAAGCACTGAGTGGCAACTTCAGAAGGCTATTGACCCAGTAGCAGAGCAAACTTTGCTCTAAAGGCTTCCCACCTAACAAAGCTTAAAAAGCAAGCCTTGAAAGGATCAAACTCTTGAAGTACCTTAACTGTGTCCTGGAATAAAGTTCCAAATATTTTAATTAATAATAATAATATCCAACACCCTAAAATTCCTAATATCTTGCATCTAATATAAAATTACCAAGCATGCAAGGAAAAACACAACCCATACCCAAGAGAAAAATCAGTTAACAGAAACAGACTGTGAAATGACATGGATGACAGAATTGGTAGAGAAGGACATTACAACAGCTACTATAAAATATTCCATATGCTCAAGAAGGTAGGAGAAAGTATGAGCATGAAGAGGAGAGAAATGGAAGATAACCAAAAAAAAAAAAAAAATCCATAACTGAACTTCTAGAGATGAACAATATAATATCTGAAATGAAAAATATACAGGACAGGATTAACAGTAGATTAGACACTGCAAGAAAAGATGAGTGAACTTGAAGACACAGCAATAGAAACTATCCAAAATGAAACACAGAAAAAAAGACTAAAAAAAAAGCAGAGCTTTGGTGAACGATGGGAAAATATGAAGAAGCACAGCGTGCATATAATTGGAATTGCAGAGTGTGGGTTCTGGGGGAGGTGAGGAAGATAATGGCTGAAATTTTTCCAAATTTGATATAAACCTACACTGTAAACCTACAGATGCAAGAAGCTCAATAAACTCCAAGTGGAAGAAACACAAGGAAAACCCAGCCCAAGTCACATCCCAATCAGATTGCTGAGGCCTTGACTGTTCATTCTATTGCCTCCCATGAATAGGCCCAAGGCATAAACACTCAGCCAAAAAGTGGGTAAGTGCTGCAGGGAGCTGGAAGAGAAGAATGGATGCAGCTGACATAGCCAGACAGACCGGGAAGAGAGAGGAGCGCGTGATGTGGTGAGTGCAGTGCGTGGCAGGTCACGCGGGGCAGGATCGGTCATGGAGGAGGGTTTGCTGCTCCCCTCCTCTGCAGGAGGCCTAGCCTCATTCCCGGAAGCAGCTACACTCCTACGGCTTCTGCCCAAAGTCCAGCACCAGAAGCATCTAGGGACCTAGATTTGCTGTCTCTTTGCTGAGTAATCCTCTTGTCCTGGAGCCCGGCCCGATTCAGGGAAAGGAGTCCAATCAATGACAAAACCAGCAAGCACAGCAGACACCTGGAGGCTGGCAGGACAACTCCACTTTTCAAAGGCCTAAAAATAGCCCTGACCACATTTGAAACCATGACAGCCCTGCCAGTCCCACCGGAACACGCTGCAGGTTGCCTCACCTCAGACGTTTCAGGTCAAGGGACAAAAGCTTCCCAGTTTGCTGAGTTGCCAGTGCATGGGCCATTTCATCCACGTCAGGTCTGCCACCAGCACCTGTGGTACAGCTGAGCACAGGCTGCCACACACACATCACAGTGGGACACTTTGCACCAAGGCAGGTATCCACCCCGGCCCACCTACCACTGCAGTACATCCAGCTATACCCTGCAGGAACAAGGGGCCAGTGGGAGAGTTTAGGCCCTGACCAGGCCGAGGGCAGGGGGAGGGGTGCTGTTGGAGACTCTGCCCCTATACCTACCTGCCAGGCCGGGAGGACCTTCTCGATGTCATTCAGGTTGATTCCATCCCCATCTTCCAGCTTCCCTTTTCCACACCTGGACCAGAAAAAACATAACAACACTGAAAGGACAGCTCATTCATGCATCCTGTCCAGGCCCAGCAAGCAGGAAGAGCAGGGGTGGTCAGGAGACACCAGGTCTTACTCTCCCTCAAGGCCGAAGAATCAGCCTGTCCCACCTGGGGGAAATGGCCCTGGAGAAGTGCTCTCCTCCCTCAGGCCTGCAACACAGGCCCTTCCTTGAGGACAAAGGACTCTGTGCAGGCAGGAATGTGGGACCTGGGGTGGGGCAGAGGCACTAACAAGGCATCCATCCCCTAGGGAGGTGAAGGATACCAGAGTTCCCCTTGACCTTTCCAGGCAAAGAAGTTAAGCTCCTTGCCAATGAACGCCCCAAAGCATATCACAGATCCTGCAAAAACCCATCATTTTGCCCGGTTACACCAAGGGGAAAGCAAATGAACAGAGAGATCGAGCAACTTTCTCAAGGGCACGCAGGCCCCCAACAGGGATTCCTCCCTCCCGGGCCTGACTTTGCCAGTCCAGCAAGCCCACTCAGATGCCAATGCTTTGTCTTCATGTCCTCTGTGGGCGGGCACACCTTCAGACCACAGGTGCTGACCCCAATTCACTGGCAAAGGCCCATATCTTCCACATATTTGAGGGTGCAGACTCTGGAACTGCAGGGCTTGGAACCCCAGTGGCATCACTTACTAACTGGGTGACCCTGCTCAAGTCACTTTCCCTCTCTGTAACTCAGTTTCCTCATTTGTAAAATGGGGATAATTACTAGCGCCTAACATCACGAGGTGGTTGGAGGATTAAATTAGTTAATGTACTGAAGTGCTTAGACCTGTGCCCAGCATACAGTAAACGCTATAATAAAAGTATATGTAGAAAATAGATTATCATGGTAAATACAGGCAATAATTCAGTAAAATTATAACAAAACAAATAATAAGGTAAATATATTAGTGCTACTAGGACTGTTATATTTACTGTCATTGTTGTTATTGTTATTGGGGCAGAGCAGCAGTGCAGTGACTGATTAATAGCATAGATTCTAGAGCCAACACAGCCTCAGTTTTTCTGGGCCTCTAGATTCCTCATCTGTTGAAGGAATAACAGCTCCCACCTCCCTAGGCTGTGGTGAGTTTTAGATAATACAGGCAAGCGGTTAGAACCTGGATTGGTGTATGCACAGTGCACGGTAAGTATCAGTTACTATTACTATTATGTATTGTTATTATTGTTGTTATTATTATCATCAGGTATGGTGAGGGCTACCTGATGGGTTGGTGGCAGCATGTTCCAGTTCCAGAGTTAATGCAACTCTCAAATTTCAGAGTAATTAGTTCATTTGATCAAATATCCGCCAAGCCTCTCTCGTGTTTTTGGACCTGTCAAGTCTTCCTGGAGTCGTGGGAAATAAATCCCACGTGGTCCCCGCCCTCAGACAGCTCACAGCTCTTAGCCGAGGAGCCTATGCCCATCTACGGGGCAGTGAACCTGAGCACCAGTAGGGGGCAGCATGAGATAAGTGCTACGAAAGTTCCGTGCACAGAAGGCACCCTGAAACTCCAAGGAAGAGAAACGGGGTGGCTACAAAACCCAGCACAGCTTGGGGGAAGGGGTGGGGGATAGGATCTATGCCCCATGCAACACACGCTTGTGTCCCTGGGGGCTCCGGCTTGGTCTGGGCCCTCCGTGTCACAGCGCGGTGGTAGTGCTCGGTGGCAAGCGAGGACGCGGACGGGGGGGTGGGGAGGTGGGACGCGGAGCAGCTCCTCCCAGAGGAGCAGCATCTAGAATAACCTGGGGCGGAGCGGGGGGAGGTGGGACGTGCGATGGTCCAGCAGAGAATCTTGCAGAGCGTCCCAGGCAGAGGGCAAAGGCCTGGGGCTAAGCGCAAGGGTGTTGCCAGCAAGGAGGGCAGGGTTCTTGAGGCTGCAGAGGGGTGGGGGGAGGGGGCCAAGGGGCAAGATGGCGCTGGAAGGCCAGGGTTGGGAGCACAGCTTGGGTTCTGGCCGGTGGAGATGGGGTGGGAGGGGTGTAAGGGGACTTCTTGCCTCTTCAGCCTCCAGCCTGGTGGTGATGTGCAGGGCTGCAGAGGAGGTGGAGAGAGGTCTGGAAACATCCAGCTGCCTTTCAACTAACAAGTCTGCCTGGTAGAGACAGGCTGGCCCGTGAAGACACCACCTGCTCACAGACATCTGTGTTCCCTGCGTGCCGGGGCAGTGGCGGGGAGGGAACTGGGGACTCTGGGGCTGACACCCCTCCCCCAGGTCATGTGAACATGTAACACACCTCTGGCTCCAACCACCCTCGGGCACCAGCCTAATACATCATGGCACAGCCTTTCAGTCTCACCTCATCAGCCCCTGGGGTCGGCAAGGAGGGCTACTGTCCCCCTAGGCCCGCCCTGTCGGGGGCTCAGAACTCCCTGGAGGGACGGCAGGCAGGTTCCAAGGGCAGAAGGTTGCTACAGACCAGCTGAGTCACTGCTGCCAACAGGGTTTCCAAGGTAACAACCTCCACTGATTTCTGTCCCTCCGTGGAAACACGGGCTGCGGGAAGCCTTGGCAACCGAGTGGTACCCTACTTCCAAGAGCTGCTGCCGTGGCTGGGCGTGTGGAGTCCATCCCCGGAAAGGCCGGGCTCCAAGGGTGACACACTTCTTGGCTTAGCGACAAAGTGGCTACAGGACGCTGCACCCAAACTCCCCAGGATCCCAGGAGAGATGGGATCTGGTCAGAGAGCCAGGCGTCTATAGGAGACCCCGGGGCACTGTCAGCAAATCTGGCCGGTTCCTCTGAGTGAGTGAGGCTGGTGGTGAGCAGTGTGGCCAGTTCCTCTGGCTCCGGAAGGAGCAAGGGCCCTCAGCACAAGGGGAGCCTTTCCTTCCCTGGATAGTCATTTGTCGCTACTGCCACACTGTGTTCTGTTAGGACGTTAATTTGTGTGAACTGGTGCAGACGCCTTTGGAAAGCCTGACCATCACTCACTCCCCAACGGACACCTTCGGTCCATGAGGCATTGTCATCACTTCTGTCCTTTGGGCCTCAGTTTCCCCACTGGTTTTGCCATCCATGTGCCCCCAGGGGACAAAGGAGAGATAGGCGCTTCCCAGGGAAATGCCACCTCTCTCCAGAAGGCTTCCGCAGACAGTTCATCCCCTCTTTTTAACAGTAGAGTGAATAGAAATAATGCTTCTGTGTGTGTTCCTCACCATTGGGGGACCCAGCAGGACTGGTGACTGGGTTTCCGAAGTGCAAAATGCTCCTCCCTTTCCCATGGCACACAGCAAGCTCCAACTGACTCCCACCACAGGGCAGATGGGGAGCATCGCTTCTGCAGAAAAGCAGCTCCTGAACTTGACCTGCTGAGCAAAGGTCAGCTTTCCTACACTCAGAAGTGTGGAGGGCACAGCCCTGCACAGCCAAGCAGCTCAGGGGGAAAATGGCCCCAGAGCTGCTGAGTGAGAGGGTTGAGGGCACGGTGAGCGGGTGGACGGGCGTGAGGCAGGGCCAAGGGAGCCCCGTGGCTGCGACTCTGCTTTGCACTATCTCCTCCTAACAGGATGCCTCCATGTTCAAGGGCAACTCTCTCTACTCGAGAAAAACATCCCAAGAGTTTGGACAGAACCCTCACAGGGGCAGGACAGTGGAAAAAGGAGGTATGGGGAGAAGATGGGGTCCCCTGGGAAAGTCTGATGTGAGTGATGGGCCCCTGCCCCCCAAAATATACACGTGCACATAGTTTTACATAAAATTTTAAGGGGATTAAGCCAAGTCAAGGATACTCTTATATCCTTGAGCCTGAGCGCTGGATGGCGTCAGAAGGGCTCAAATCACAGGTCTGCCCCTTGGGCAGGTACTGTGCCTCTCTGAGCTTCGTTTCTCTCATCTCTGAAATAAGGATGCGAGCATCTCCCTCCCAGGTTGTCATGCTTACACTGCAGTAAAACCACTGCTGTCAAGAGGAGGGTGACCACTGGGTGTGAGTGGGGTGGGCAGAGTTAGCAGCGGGACAGGTGAGATGCAGGAATGTAGCCCATAATATCAGCTACATTTTAGCTTGAAGTGACAGGGAGACAAGGGTGGGCAGGGAAGGACTGGAAGGAAAAATAAAAGCCATGAGTATAATTAAAAGAAAAGAATGGAAAATAGCGAGTGCTGGCGAGGATGTGGAAAAATCGGATCCCCTGTGTATTGCTGTTGGGAATGTAAAACATTCAGCTGCTGTGGAAAATAGTTTAGCTGCTCCTCATAAAGTCAACACATAGAATTGCCATGTGTGATGTTGTGATTTATAATAAGATGTATCTGATTCACCTCCAGTCTTGGCAAAGAGCTCCTAAAATCTTTGGAATTACCTAAGCGGGGAGTGATCAAGGTGTCTTTTGTTATGTTAATGAGGTGAAATTTGGAAAGTCCCTAGGTCACCTGAGGATCAGAGCTGGTTGCCAGGGGAACCAACCCTGTGGTAGAAGGGTATGAACTTTTATCCCCAACCTCAGATTTCCAGGGAGGGGAGAGGGGCTGGAGATTGAATCAATCAACAGTAACCAATGATTTCATCAATTCTGCCTGTGTAGTGAGGCGTGTCTAAAAACCCAGAAGGACGGGGTTTGGCGAGCTTCTGGGCTGGTGAACACGTGGAGATTCAGGGCGAATGGTGCACCCAGAGAGAGCATGGAAGTTCTGCACCTCTTTCCCCATACTGTGTACTATGCACCTCTTCCATCTGGCTGTTCCTGAGTTACATCCTTACATGATAAACTGTAATCAAGTAAGTAAAATATTTTCCCGACCTCTGTGAGCTGCTCAGGCAAATTAATCAAACTCCAGGAGAGGTTGTGGGAACCTCTGATTTATAGCCAGTTGATCAGAAGCACAAGTAGCAACCTGGACTTCTACTGGTATCCGGTGCTGTATCCAGGGAGACAGTGTCAGAATTGAATTGAATTACAGGACACCCAGCTAGTGTGGAAGAATTGCTTGTGGATTTGGGGAAAAAAATACACACACATCAGAACTGGTGTCAGAAATTAACCATGTGACCCAACAACTCCACTCCCAGTCAAAGACCCCGAAAGAATTGAAAACAGAGACTCAAACAAATACTTATACATGAATGTCCATAATAGCATTATTCACGGTAGCCAAAGGATGGGAACAACGCAAATGTCCATCAGCAGACAGATGGATAAACAATGGAATGTTATTGTGAAAAGGGTTGAAGTCCTGATATAAGCTACAGCGTGGATAAGCCTCAAAAATATTATGCCGAGTGAGAGAGGCCCAACACGAAGACCACATATGATTCCATATATATATATATAGTTCCATACATGTATATATACCTCCAGATATCTATACCTATATATCTATATAGAGATAGGTAGATAGGTATAGATAGGTATCTCCAGAATAGATAAATTCATAGAAACAGAAAGCAAATTGGTGGTTGCCAGGGGTAGGCGTGTGGGGAAATGGGAATAACTGCTTCATGGGTGTGGGTTTTATCCTGGGGTGTTGAAAATGTTTTGGAACTAGACAGATGTGGTGGTTATGCAACATTATAAATGTACTAAATGCCACAGAGTTGAACACCTTAAAATGGTTCATTTTATGTTATGTGAATTCTACCTCAGTAAAAATTATCTTAAAAGGAAGGAAGGGAGGGAGGGAGGGAGGAAGAAAGGAAGGAAGGAAGAAAAGAAATCATCTGTCTCACACCCCTGTGTGTGGCTGGAGTCACATTCCTGTCCGGAGGTCAGCCCAGGCCCTGACACCATCTCTAAAAGGGAAAGTAAACACTGATGCATGAACTAAGGAAAGAGTGAGACGACCGAGTAAAAGCAACCACTACCCCAGTGGCTTTTTTTTTTTTTTTTGCGGTACGCAGGCCTCTCACTGCTGTGGCCTCTCCCGTTGCGGAGCACAGGCTCCGGACACGCAGGCTCAGCGGCCATGGCTCACGGGCCCTGCCGCCCCGTGGCATGTGGGATCTTCCCGGACCGGGGCACGAACCCGTGTCCCCTGCATCGGCAGGCGGACGCTCAACCACTGCGCCACCAGGGAAGCCCCCCGGTGGTTCTTAAAGTGGGGCCCCTGGACCAGCAGCATCAGCAGTTCCTGAGAACTTGTGAAAAATGCCAATTCTCAGGCCCCACCCCAGACCTCCTGAATCAGAGACTGCGGGTGGACCCAGTGATCCCTCTTCTTATCAAGGCGAGACCCACTGCTCTAGACTGTTGGCAAGCAGGGCCACTGTGAGTGGTCAGGAAGCGGAGCAGGCAGTGTGGCTGGAGGGGGCTGGGCAGTGAAGGGTGGAGGGATTCTGGAGAGAGGCCAGTGAACCTGCAGATCTGAGCCACTGAGCCTCTGGACATCAGCCTGCCCAAGGAAAGGCCCCCCTCTGCCCCGGTATAGCCACAGCTGTCCCTCACCTCACCAGCCCCTATGTGGGAGTTCCCCACTGCCCCTTACCCTTCACGGTCGATGTGTGGCAGGGGCTGCTTGGGCGTGTGTCGGAGCTTCCGGTGGAACTGGGTGAAGTCCAGCTTTTCAGGCTGCAGGTCCCAGGTGGCACCACTAGAGGGCGAGGGAGGGTGAGAAATGTGACAAGCCCAGTTACTGATGGGGAAGAGACACCCCGGCACACCCCAGGCAGGGCATCTCAGAAGGAGGTGGGCAGGAAGAAGGAGTGCCTACTGGCCACAGGCAGGGGTCAGGCAGGGACCCTCACTCAGAATGGAGCCTGAAATGTCGGCTCTGCGCTCACAGACAACAGGGCAAGTGCTTGCGTGGTAGCCTTCCCCTCTCTTCAACCCTGCTGTATGATAATAGATGCCTATAAAACACAAGTGTGGGCCTGATGCTCGCTCTACAGTGGTCCGCCTGAAACACTGGAAAGCCTGGGGAGAGTGTGTCAGTCGGGGAAGCAGGAGCCCAGGTCCCCCAAGTACCAGTCTCGGGAGACCCACAGCACTTCCATGCTGGGCAAGCCTGAGCCAGAGCCAGGGTGAGCCTGGAGCACAGCCAGAGCTGGCCAGCTCCAGGGCCGGGGCAGAGCTGAGCTAAAGGGCCACCACCATCCATGGTCGGAGGTCATCACTCTCCAAAGAAGTGGACACCATGACAGGAGAGCCCATCAGCAAACCCTTCAGGGGCACCATCCCCACATCCTGAGAAAGCCTGGCCAATACCCGCCCTTCCAACTTGGCCCGTCAGGAACCTTCTAGAGCCTGAAGCACTGACAGTTCTTCCTTTTCTCTGGACCCCTCTCCGCACCCCCCAGCCCCCGCCTTCCATAACCTCTGGTGGGAGGGGTGGGGTGTGCAGCCACAGCTGTCCATCCTCAGCTCTAACACAGCCACGTGCTGTCCCCCACCGCCATTTTCCTTCCTTCTCTCTCTGACCTCCTTCCTCCGGCCTCATCCTCTCTATTTCACCCTCCCGTCTTTCTCTCCACTTCTTGATCAATGAACTCTCAACAATAACTCAATCCCCAAAGGACCCTCAGGGCATAAGGACCAGTAAGCTGGGGTCCCAGCCGGAGCCACACACCACAACAAGAGGAAGAGGAGCTCACCTGAAGGAATCAAAGGTGTTGGCAGCCCAGATATCTGTGCCCAGCATGTCCAGAGAGGTGTCTTTGCTGCCATTCTGGAAGAGATGGAGGATGAAAGGGGTGGCATTATTTGCCTGGCCAGGACATGGAACAAATGGGCGGAAGGCCCAATCCCAGAGAGGGTTGCAGAGGGCCCCCTTCCCCACCATCCCCCTCGGTTGGTCATCCTGGGCAGCTTGGAGGCTGGAGTGAGCCACTGGAGTGTCCTGGCTGGTGTACGCAGTACGAGTCAGGGGGACCCCTGGCCTCCCCCAGGCTTGGGCCCTCACTTTGCTGGTGTTTGACAGAGCTGTGTGGTCAGGTACAGGGCAGCCAGGGCTCTGCTGCTCCAGCCCGTGGCTCTCTCCTCAAAACCTCTATAGTGAGCTGTCACCACCACTGCAGCCTGATGGCAGCGGCTTCTCCCAGGCAGGGGCTCTGCAGAGCCAGGCACACTGGAAGGTCTGTGTTGGGAGGTTGACTTCCTTTGGAGTTAAGCCCCACAGCCCCAAATCCGGTGGCACCAAAGCCCCCATTGACCAACAACTCCAGCGATGGAACTTCTCTAAGTCAGCTAGCTCCGGTCTTCTTCCTCTGTTGTTTCCTATATGATTCATTCCATAGACAGAAAATGCTCTACTTGACCCAGCTTCTCTTCTCTGGCTTCTTTGCCCTCGGCTGATCTCTGCAACGAGTTCTCCAATCCCTATCTCCACTCCTGATGCCACCCATCCCTCACTGTACCTGAGCAGGACCCTATGGGGCCTTCCCAGAACAGACCCTACCCCCTCCCATGTCCTCTACCTGAAGGAAAACTTCAGCCTCCTAGGCCTTCCCCAAGTTCCAAAGAGTAAATGTAACCAGAGAAGTGAGAAAATGCAGAAACAAAGGAAAACAGACAAGCAAGACAAAAATAATAATAGCTTAGCCATTAAACAAAGGCAAGGACATTTAGTTCCTCCTCTAGGGCTATAGATAATATTTTGAGCCAGGTTCTTTGAGCTGTTTTGCAGATACTGAAACCCCCACCAGGTGGAAGAAGTTAACTGCATACTGACCACAAGCACATAGACCCCAGATGGGTTGGAACCAGAGGTTGGTAATGTTGACTCCTAATTACCTCACCACCAACTAATCAGAAGAATGCCCATGAGCTGATCACATATCCCATAACCCTCCTCCCTCACCCTGTCTTTAAACACCTTTCCCTGAAAGCCTTCGAGGACTTTGGGCCTTTTAGGCACTAAGCTGCCTGGACTCCTTGCTTGGCGCCCTGCAATAAACGCTGCACTTTCCTTCACCACAACCTGGAGTCAGCAGATTGGCTTTACTGTGTGTGGGCAAGCGGACCCAGGTCTGGTTCAGTAACATCGTGACCCCCACAGTCTGCTTTTCATCACCACAGTCTTTAAAAACGATACTTCCACCTCCACTGAAGCTGACTGTGTGCGTGCCTTATAACTCAGGACTCCAGTCCCAAGTACAAACACAGCCAAAATGTGTACAGACGTTCACCAGTATTACACAGCACAGAAGTACAGAGGAGCACTACTCAGAACAGCTCCAAACTGGAAACCACCCAAATGCCTACCAACATTTGACCAAATTAATCGTGGTGTGTCCACATACTGGAATATTACACAACAGTCAGAATAAATTAAAACAACATGTAATGCCATAAATGAATCCCACAAACATAAAGTGGAACAAAAGAATCTAGATATAAGAGTACCGGCTCTATAATTCAATTTTACATAAAGTTCAAGAACAGGCAAACTAATCTATGGAGAATTCAGACAGTAACCAGAAGCGGGCCCCAGGAGGGTGCTGGGGGCTGGTAATGTCTGCTCTTAATCTAGGTGCTGGTTACATAGGTGTATTCAGTTTGTGGAAATCTGTTGAACTGTAGGTGCATGGTATGTACACCTTCTTCTGTGTGTGTTATGACCTTCTGGTTAGATTCCTGGTAGCATTCCCAGTCTTTATTTTTATGATGATCTGTCCCTGGACCTGTCATTCCTCAGATCCACTAGCTCATACACTGGGCAATCTTCCTTTGAGATCTTTCCATAGGCCTGGCCCTGGGCAGACACTGAAGACACAAAAGTGGAGAAGTCACAGGTTATGCCTGCAAAGAATGGTATGGGATGACACAAACGTAATAAATAATTACAATACAGTGTGAAATGTGCACTGATTCAAGGTGCCACAGTAGGACCAAAGCACAGGCAAATTTCCTGAGAAGTAGGGAAGGACTCCCCCAGAGTAGGGATTCATGGTGATCAGAAGAGCGGAGGGAAAAGGAGGGAAGTGGTCATCTGGGGAAAAGGGCCAGTATGTGGAAAGGGGCCCTGGCAGGATACAATAAGGCATCTGGGTAACTTTAAGGCCTCCTGGGTTTGCACAGGGAGCCCGGCAGCTTGTCAAGGTGCCCCCAGGTGGGCAAGTCAGTGGTTTTCAACATCACCCACTCTCAGTCCTGGTCAGGGGCCTAGTAGGGGCCTCACAAGTGCTCCTCAGTGATTGTCATGGGTTGAACTGTGTCGTCACCCCCCCTCCCCGATCCCCGCCACCACCATTATTCATGCGCTGACGTCCTAACCCCCAGTCCCTCAGAATGTATTTGGTAACAGGCTCATTGCGGATGTAATCAGGTAAGATGAGAGTGGGCCCTAGTCCACTATAACTGGTCTCTTTATAAAAAGAGGAAATTTGGACACGGTGACAGATGCACACAGAGGGAGAACGCCAGATGAAGAATGGAGTTATGCTGCCACAAGCCAAGGAACTTCCAGAAGCTGGGAGAGAGGCCTGGACAGATCCTTTCCCAGCTCCTTCACAGGGATCATGGCTCTGCAGACACCTTGCTTTCAGTCTTTTGGCCTCCAGAACTATGAGATGACGATCCATTTCTGTTGTTCTAAGTCACCTAGTTCGTGGTCAAACGTCCTAAGTCAAGCAGCAAACTGGTAACGGTGATCAACCAACCATCAACTCCACAAAGCCCTTGTGAGGGCAGTCCATCATGTCCCCACTTCCCACAGCCAGCAGACAACCCCCTGTGGCCTTCTCATGTCCTTCAGCCACATGAAGCACCAGAGGGCCCCGGGGCCCCACCTCCTGCAAACAGACAAGCTCAGACCCAGGCTGGCTCAGCTAGTCTCTGATCTCCCCACACCACCTCCCCAGAGACGGCCCAGGAAGAGTCCCACCTGCTGTCCTCCCTGTGCCCCCCCAGCTGGAGACCACGGCCAACATCACCCCAGAGCCTGCCGAGCAGAGCTCACATGGACACTGGTGAAAAGAGAAAAGGCATGAGGATGTATGTGTGTGTTTAGATTCTGCACTTACTGAGCGCCGCCCACATACAAGGCACTGAGAACCCGGCTAGAAATAACCCCGAACGAGGCTCAGCAACCTGCCTCTCCCTCCCCCAGCGACCAGAGACACCCGGCGCCTTGGCGATGAAGCCCCATGCCTTGGGGGTTTGGTTTTGTTTTTAGTTCTCGTTTTCTTCAGGTCGGGCAGAGGCGGCCAGCAAGGTCTTCTTACTCACCGCGTCCTACTCTGCGCATCCCGACTCACCAATCCCTCAAGGTAGGAACCAACCTACTTCCCAGAGAGAGAGCACTTTGAGGGTGGTTTCCGGCTTCTAATCGGTCTGAAGGCAAAGGAACACAAACTGGCCAGTAGAAAGGTTGAGGCCCAGCCTCCCAGCAGAAGGGGCCCAAGTGCTCAGACCCTCACAGACACCAGGCAGGAGATGAGGAGGGGGTGGGGAGAGGAGGGGAGCATTCAGGGGAGGCTGAGGGAACAAAGGGCTAATGGGAGAGAGGGGCACCCAGAGTGTGACCTGGGATGAGTCGCGTAACCTGCCTGGGCTGCATCCATACAGTGACTGGGCCTTCCCTCTGGCACCACCAGGCTGAAGCCTTGGGTCACTCAGGCTCTAAGTGGCTGGGAACTTTCTCACGATGCCCTGAGACCTCCCACAATCCTCCTGTGAATCAACCACAGTCACTCGGGGCCAGAAGCTTCTCCATGTGGCGCCACCTGTGTGCACCTGGGTCTTCCCCACACCTGTCCAGTCCCGCTTCCCCATAATCCCTTTCACTATTGACCGTGACGTCTCGTCTCGGCCTTGCTCCTCTCCCGCTCCCTCCAGACGTGCCCCATCCTTCAGCGCTTGACTCCAGAAAACCCCTCTGACCTCCCAAACTGCAGTCACCTCCCTCTGTCCTGAACTTAGCACCCGCGTGGGTGACCTGTGGCCGCAGAGCCCACTGGCGGCAGTTCTCACTCCGTCTTACCGTCACTCTCTCCTGCTCCAGGGCGTGGACCTGGGATGGCAGGGACCCCTCCAGGTGCCCCAGCGCCCTAAGTTCAGCGCCCAGGAAGTGTCTGCTGAGTTGACAAACACTTCAAGAGACCTTCACTGTCTTCCTTAAACACGTTGCCATAATGAGCCATGTGACCTCAGCGAAGTTACTTCACCAATTTGGACTTCAGATTCTTCATATTTAAATAAAGAGATCTCCGAAAGTGAAGTGTCAAATCCTGTAGATGGGTTTCTTCTGACTGGCATGTGTGCTGCCACCGCACCCTCTCTCACCAGGGGCAGACATCACTAATCAATTATGGCACAATTTACAATCTTCTAGGATCAGCCCCTCCTTCCCTTCCTTCTTTGAGTTGTCTCATCACCCTACCCATCCCAACTCCTGGTGCCCTGCTTGCTTCAAATGCCACTTTGAAATTGCAGGTGGCTAGAGCGACTCACTTTCTATCTAGGAGACAGGCCCCCACCCTCCTGAGATGTTAAGTGGCTTGTTCACAACATCCTTCCCAGGCCTCAAAGATGATTACCAATAGGTACAGCATTTTAAAATGACTTCTAAAGCAAAGGTCAAAAAAAAAAAAAATCAAACAAACTAAACCTTGCTTCCAAAGCACACGTCTGAGACCTCACCTAGAGTGAAGTTCACGTCCTCCTTCAGGATAGTAATATGAAGTCTCTCCCTAATCCCTGACCCTTTAAATACACAACTCACTCTGG